GACACAGAAAAGCGCCATAAAATATAACATAATGCAATTTATATTGTAAATGTTATAAATAATTTTAACAACATTATTTTAAAACAAGTTTTGTGTATAGACTGGAAAAATAAATATATGTATTGATATAACACAAACATGACGCAATTAAGATACAAAAAAAATAAAACATGAGTTTCCCAAGGGTCAATTTTAGGGCCCTTGCTTTTTATAACATACATAAATGATCTTCTTCCAACAATAAAACCAATAAATACTTCAACAGAACCCATAATTTTTCTCACCACAGTATGCTTTAAGTATTGGTTATAATGGGAAGTATATACAGGAGTCAATAAATACAAAATTCCTAGGTTTACAAATTGATAATTACCTAAATTTGACAAATCATATCGATAAACTGATACCTAAGGCTGCAGTCGCACTTCAAGCGTATTCATGCGAATTGACGGTCGAGCAAGTTCAGGCAAACTTATTGTGGTAGTACTGCAAGCGATAACGCGCAAAACGTTTGTGGTACGAGCCTCAGTATGAAAATGGAGCTCAAGGAAGAAATGTATCTGTCAGAGAACAGTTTGCTTAAGCTTTTAGTAGCCGGAAGGAACGTACGACGATGTTGGGTGAATGACAGAAGTGAAAGTGAATTTCACACACTTTTTGATAAATTGCTTTCATGACTATTACAGGATGTCGTTGAACACATACCAATACATATTAAATGCTATTGAGGAAGCAATAAAAAAGCAGAGTAATTTCTGAAACTGTATTTCACCATCAGAACAGTTAACAGTGGCACTGAGGTAAGATTTTCCATACTTGTTTTTATCTTTGTTATATTTTTTACTTGTACATTTTTATTGTATTCATTTTCAAAAGAAGTTACAATTCTTAAGAAACCAAAATCTAATCTATTATTATAAGTTACAATACACCAAAACATTCGTTCATTTCTTTAAATGATAATTATTCACTGAAAAGTGATAAAGTAATTTGGAAGTGATGATGAGTGACCAAAATCAGTCTGTTCATATGAATCACAGCTTCCCGAATTGGCAGAGTGTGACTGAAAGGAGAAGGGTGTGGACGCCACTACTGATGATGATGATCCTGATGATAACGCTTCCTCTTCTATGAAAACTTCCTGTAATTTCATACGAACTCTCATCTTTCTGTTTGGACTGACATTTTTTAAAAAAGGCAGTAAACTTACTAAAAATTCGTAGTCACTGTCTCGCTCAAGAGAGACTGAAGCCGAATTACCATACTTCATTTTTAAAATCTGCAATTTTTCGTGTTCCACTGTTAGTAATTTTTCCTCAATATTTTGCCTACATTTCTTCGTTGGCTTTTTAGCAGTCACAATTTTTGCATTATGATCGTCAGGTGCACGTATATATTGGGAACCTGGTTCTGCCAACTCTCCGATATCACAAGATTGTTCAGTTAACACATTCTCTTCCCTCTCAATCTCTTGATTGTCAGTGCTTACGCTACTGCCATCAACAATGGTATCAACTGCTGAGCTTCCTGGAATATTCCCACAGGATGTCCTTGGAGTCATCTGGTCCGATAAAAAGAGTAAATTTTCGAAAATAGGGCCAGGTGCTTGACATCTTTGTACCACCACTTTCACCGGAACGTTTTCCCTGCTGAAGTCTTTGAAACTCTCGTCTAAACGTATCACGTAGATTTTTCCACATAGACTTTGCAGTTTCACCTACAATTAAACAACCTTATCAGTAAATTAATATAAAGTAACTATTGCAAGTAGTTTATTGATTTTAAGGTTTTCTACTGTTTTGACATTGCCTGTAAATGTTTGCGAAAATTTCTGTGCTTCTGTATACTCATATTTTTACTTTTTTTTAGATTCTTATCAACTGCTCTTGGGTTTCATTCACTAAGTTTTCCATTTCGAATGGCATACAATACCATAAGACAGATTATATATGAAGTTTGTGAAGCAATATGAAATTCCCTACAGCCATTACATATGAAAATTCCCTCAGAAGAATTACTGAAGAAAAATGCTGTTGAATTCTTTGATAAATGGAATTTTCCTAATTTTGTGGGCTGCATTGATGGGAAACATAGCCGTTTGAAATCGGGCACACACTTTTATAAATACAATTTTTTTCCATTGTTTTGCAAGCTGTTTGTGACGCAAACTATAAATTTGTATGTGTTCATATAGGCAGGTACAGAAAACAGAGTGACAGAGGAACCTTCGCTGCATCAAGTTTTTACAAATCCCTCGAAAATGGATCACTGAAATTAGCACGAAATGAAAATCTCCCTCAAACTGATGTGTCACTTCATGTTTTATTAGGTGATGACGCGTATCCTTTAAATACTTATCTGATGAAACCATATTCAAAAAGAGATTTATCAAGGGAAGAACAGATTTATAATTACAGACTCTCCAGAGCACGGAGAACAGTAGAATGTGCCTTCAGTATAATTACAGCCAAACGGAGGTTACTTAATAAGTGTATTGAAACTAAACCAGATAAAGCTGATGTAATCATTAAGTGCATATGCTTGTTACATAATATTTTTATTGGGAAGGAAGGTATTTATGATCCTTCTGTTACATCGTCGACACCACAAAATGCAAGCATAATAAATATAAACAAATCACGATCAAATAATAGGTCAGCACAACAGGCTTGTGACATCAGAGATGCATTTAAAAACTATTTTAACAGTAGTGAAGGTAGCATTATCCAACAGTTCAACGTTCCCTAATTATCTGTGCCACACACAATCCACTGCTTCAACAAACATAAATGTAGAATTTGTACTGGTGTAGCAAGGAACAGTTTGAAATAAACTTAAAATGCAATATATACTTACTTGAAACATTCATAACCTCACTAACGTTTTACCATAACTTCGTTGAAACCTCTCTGTTGTGATAAATTTTAATGTTTTGGTCCCACAAAGCCTTCTCATTGAACACAAGATGAATTAATTCTTCAGTATCCATCTCTTCGCGCGAATAAAAACAAACCTGTTTGAAAGACAAGCGATGTTGAGCGGTACGCGCAATAACTTCGCTTGCAGTGTGACCAGTTACAGACCTTGTAACGTGTTTGATAGTTCGACCGAACTCACTCGATAACGCCCGACTGTTAATTTGCGCGAAAACGCTTGCAGTGTGACGGCAGCCTAGTGGAGCATGTTACGCAGTGAGATCTCTGTTACATGTCAGCAACACTGACACACTCAGATCGGTATATTTTGCCTTTTCTTGACGTAAATACGTCTATATGGAAGGGTCAGTGTTATTCCGCAAAAAAAGCGTTACGAAAAAGCGACAGAAAAATGTGTAAGATCTGTTTACTCTAATTGTTACGTCATCTGTTTATTCCGCATTGTTGTATCACTTTACTGATGCCAACAATCCCCTTTCGTTATTGCGCAAAGAGCTGAGTTGTGAATCGCTTGTAGAAGAAGTGCGTCATGGACTAGGTAATTTTGTGCTGGTAAAAACGTTTTACAATATCACAAGTACTTATCTTATCTAATTCAAGGTAGGCAGTACTGTCTTACTCAAACTTAAATCAATTGTAAAGCGTGTATAAAGAAAATATTTAGAATAAAGCCACTATATAAACTTCCTTTCCGTATAGACGTATTTACGCAAACATCAAAAAGATATTTACTTTTCAAAAGAATATTATTAGATTAATGGCTGGTGTAAAACCTAGAAATTCATCTAGAATTCTATTTAAGAGATTAGAGATCTTAGCTCTTCCATCTGAATACATATTCTCGTTAATGAACTTTATTGTAAATAACCAAGAACTCTTTAAAACTAATTCTGCTGTACACAGTGTCAACACAAGTAATAAAAATCAGCTTCATAGACCAATTGCCAACCTCTCATGTTTCTTGAAAACATGAGAAAAGGATAGAAAATAAAAATGAATTTCAAAATTAAGGCTCAATGAAACACACAGATTTTGGTTACTCCTCCATAATCTATCCAGCATCACAATTCCTGTCAACACAGTGTACAACTTCCCTGGTGACACCCAAAAACAAAGCTGTAAATATTATTTGGTTACCAACAACTTGAATAGCCATACCTCAAAATTTTAGCTAAATGTGTTTCTGGCACCGTGATTCTCTACCTACCAACAAAACAGCATGATATGCATCTCGGAGTTCCCGCAGTGACAAGTCACGACCCAGCGTCACATTCCCTATAAATCTTAGCTGAGGACTTTTTGCTGTCTTGGTAAATGTGTTCATCACATTCTTCACTTCGGGGTGATCGGGTGCCACGCCAAAGCGAACAAGACCGAACGGGACTGGCAGCTGCTCGTAAATATCAACTTCTGCGCGTGGAAGCGTCTGCAAGACAAAATGACAAGTGGCAGCTCTGACAAATCTGACTTCAAAACAGCAATGACATTAACAGCCTCATTAAGCACTGTTTACTCAAGTTTCTGTGGTTCTACGCATGTCTAATCACTATAATAAAAAAATATCATAACACGCAAACATAACATTTGAACCTAAAGGAATTCTGAACACTGTGGTATTCAAGGAACAATTTACATGAACGCAAAGAGGTGAGATTTCAATGGTACTTGCTGCTTCCATCATCAGAGCAATGAGTCGTCAGTTAATTTCTAACAGACTACAAAGCGCAATAATACAGAAGACAGCCATCTTTACAAAAAAAATAAGAATAAAAAAATTAAATTGATAAAACCATATTTGTGTGAAATGCTAGAAGAGTGCATAAAAATATCAATCATTGGACACGTAAGAAATTTTAAAACCATCGGCTTATGATTCTTCAAAACATACTTTAGAAAAGGAATTGTCATTGTCAAAAACTTATACGAATGGCAACAAATGGCTCAAATAGACTGATATAATCTCCCTATGAAAATAACCTGATTCTGTCAGGATTATGAATTTATTTGAGGAAAGGGACATAACCATCTAATTTAAAAGCACAGTTAAGAAAAAAATAACTGAACAGGTAACTTTCATTAACCCTCAGACGTGGTTTTACGTGTACACACGCGGGCATTTAAATTAAAGTTCTTGTGGATTTACGTATAAACACGCGAGCCTCAAAGCCTAATTTAAAACGCCCATAAGTATGGAATAAATAACGCCAACGCGATGAGGTTTT